TGGTCACTTAACATCGTCACTTGCTCTGTCACGCCTCGCGCTGATTGGTCGACGCCATTTGCACGATACTTACACCGTATGTATTGACCCAGACGAGGTAGTATAAAAGAGGGGCGATTTTCGTCGTTCGACACAGTCGGCGGCCAGCTACCTCAAGAGAAACATCGAATATAGAAGATAGAAAATAGTCTCAGCGGTTTTATTCCCTACCAACCCAGCACACAATTGTGCCTGTAGGGTACATTTAATGGTCCTTCGCCAGTCGTCCGAGGCTACCATCTCGGCGACCGGTACCACCAGTGCGAAAGCCAGTACGGAATCGACAGCTACAGGGATGACCGCCACAGAGACTTCGGAGTATACAGACACTTCCGCGGCAACTGATCCATCCACCGTGACTGCCGCCACCGCAGCAACCACTTCGTCCGCCGCCACCTCAGCCTCAGCCGCAACCGCCGCGCACCCCACCAGCGCCGTCGCTCCTTCCGTAACACCATCCGCGGCGGCGACGACGCTAACTGCGGGTGCGAAGGCCAAACAGCTGATGAAGCCGCCCGCTACTGTCACCAGAGCCACTCACCGAGAAACAGAATTTTCTACAGTGAAGTGAGCCATAAGAAGCACCGCCGGTCCATCGAAGCAAACCGGACTACAGGAACCCCGCCCGCCCAGCAAGAAGGGAGGAGGAGGGGGATCTACACGCAGTAGAACGAAGCAGCTCAAGCTTGCAAAAGCGAAGGAAGATTTGCTATGCCTTCAAGTGGAGTTAGCCGCAGCACGCCTTGCTGCTTTGGAAAGGGAAGACTCAGAAGAGGAAGAAGAAGATGACGCGTCACTCTACTCGAGATCAGAGTCAATAAAAGAGTAGACGACTAGTTGGGGAATCAAATGAATCGTCCGGTGTTAGCAATCACCAACAAACCTCACCATGCCATAGAAGAACCAACCACCGCCCACGCAGAAGAACCAAGGCAGGGAAAGCATGAAGAAACACATCAGTCACCGGCGGATGGTCAAACTGACCTAGCCCTCCTGGCTGAAGCCATCACTTGGGCTGTCAGCGCAGCCCAACGACCTTAGTTCGTCGAGTTACAATTCTTCTGTGGGTTTCATCAGGAATGAGAGAGCTACGAGAAGCGACATTAAGCGCAGTTGAAAAAACAAATCGACTCAAAAGAAACTTGAAAGGGAAGGCCTAGGAAGCAGTTGAAGGCCTACTTATGACCAATGCACACCCGGCTGAAGTAATGAGGACTTTGGAGTCAAGATTTGGAAGACCAGAGTCAATAGCCATGCTGGAGATGGAGACGCTTAGAGGTCTGCCGCGCCTTACTGAGTCACCAAGAGATATATGCGTATTCGCCACCAAGTTCTCCAACGTAGTGGCGACGTTGAAGACTTTGGGTTGTTTTAACTAAATGTACAATCCTGAACTCGCGAAGACAATAGTAGACAAACTGACGCCAACTCTGCGTTATAGATACTACGACTTCTCAGCCATGCAGCCATGCAGCCGCGTGAAGACACTTGCCTCATCAAGATAGAGAAGTTCTTCAAAAGGGAAGCAGAATTGTGTGGACCATATGCGCTGCCCAAACAGATGACACCGCCTACTACAGCCGCACCACAAAGGAATCAAAGGATCAACAACGTGACTGAGAAGACACACATACCAAGGTGCGTCGTATGTGAAGATACGGGGCACACCAACGCCACAGAATGTGAACAATTCAAGAAGTTAGATGCAAATGCAAGATGGGACATGGCCAAGTCCAAGCGCCTCTGCTTCAGGTGTCTTCGCTATAGGAACAGGACACACCACTGCCGACCCAAGTCATGTAACGTCAACAGCTGCAAGTACTCCCACCACAAAATGCTGCGATGAAAAGAAATGAGAAGATACAGAAGCAAAAGAAAATCAAGGGGCAACAGAGGTCATCCACTCAACTTGGACCGTCAAGAAGCAATCGTATTTAAAAATCCTACAGATCCAGTTCAAAGGACCAAATGGAGCTGTCAACACCTTCGCGTTGATGGACGACGGCTCAACAGTCACGCTCGTCGACGATAGCATAGTAACAAGCGTCGGAGCACTGAAGATAGAAACCAGCAAATACAAGCACGCACAGTGAAGAACCTGCAAGTCTCATCTCAACGAGTTCCACAGGAACTAGTGGAAGAGTGTCAACACCTCTCTGATATCCAAGGACATCTCACATATGCAAATGCAAAGCCACGAGTGCTGACCGGTCAAGATAACTGGCATCTTCTGCTGACATCAGAAGTAAGAAGAGGAGACAAGAACCACCCAGTGGCATCTCTCACGCCACTAGGTTGGGTATTCCACGGAAGTCAGACACGAAGCTTCGGACGGAACATCGATTTCGTCTCACACATCGCAGAGGATCCAGACGAGAATCTGGAAGACCTCGTGAAGCGATACTTCGAGATGGAAGCACTCTGCATAAAACCCAAGAGACCGAAGACTGATCGAGAAGAACAAGCACTTCGTATCTTGGAAAGGACCACAACAAAGATAGAAGAAGGAAGATTCCAGACCGGTCTTCTCTGGCGCAAAGACGATGTCAAGTTACCAGACAACCACGAAAACTCGCTGAAGAGGCTCTTCAATATAGAAAAGAAGATCGATCGTGACCCTACATTAAAGAGGAAGTACGTAGAACAAATGGACGCTCTCATCGCAAAGGGGTACGCCAAACCTGCCCCAAAACAGAAGACAGCTGACAAGACTTGGTACCTACCTCACTTTGCAGTAGTTAACCCAATGAAACCCGAGAATGTACACGATGCCGCAGCCAAAGGGGTGGCACTTAATGACATGCTAATCAAAGGGCCTGACCTGCTACAATCGCTACCAGGTGTCGTCATGCGCTTCCGACAACACATGATCGCGGTTACGGCGGACATCAAGGAGATGTTCATGCAAGTCAAGTTGAGAGTACAAGACAGGGATGCACTGCGTTACCTGTGGCGTGGGGACAACCAACCTCCGGAAGAATACAGAATGACATCGTTAATCTTCGGAACATCGAGTTCGCCTTCGACAGCAATCTACGTCAAGAACCTGAACGCCAAACAGCACGGGGAATCTCACCCAGAAGCCGCAGCTGCCATCATAAAGAAGCATTAGGTCGACGACTACTTGGACAGCTTCAGAACCCTCGAAGATACCAAACGCATCACGAAGAGTGTACGAGCCGTGCAGATGAAAGCCAGCTTCGAGTTGAAACAGTGGAAATCGAACTCAGCGTCATTCCTAGAGACACTTGGAGAAGATAACCAGACAGAAGATATGGAACTCTACAAAACAGAAGAAAAGACGGAACGAGTTCTGGGTGTTGTCTGGAAGATCAACTCAGACGAACTCACCTTCCACCTCAACTTAGCCAGAATACCCTCAACACTCCTAGAAGGGAAGCAGCCGACGAAAAGGGAAGCACTGAGAATAGTCATGTCGCTCTTCGACCCGCTCGGATTCGCCTCGCCTATCGCCATCAAGAATACAACTCCTCCAGAAAGTCTGGCGTAGAGGAACAGCATGGGACGACAAGATCGACGAAGACCTGGCGGAGCAGTGGCAAATGTGGATGGAGTATCTGAAAGGCCTCCACGAAGTAGCAATCCCGCGGCAATATCTTCACTACAGCGAAGTGGCCTCCCTAGAACTCCACGTCTTCAGCGAATCAGCCTACTCTGCGGTTCTCTTTTGGAGAGCTGTAACAGCAATAGGTGAGGTCCACCTATCCCTCATTATCGCAAAAGCAAAGGTGGCACCGTTAAAATTGACATCCATCCCAAGATTGGAATCGCAAAGTATTCTGGACGGACAGCAAAACTGTACTAACCTGGATAAGGACAGGGTCACGTTCATACAAGCCCTACGTAGCTCATCGTCTAGCAGCAATAGAAGAGTGTTCCAAAGTCAACGACTGGCGTTGGGTTCCGACAAAGCTGAACGTGGCGGACGACGCCATACAAGACGGACCAGCAACATTTAATAAAGATCATCGATGGTTCAAAGGACCTGACTTCTTATACCTAACAGAAGACTCCTGGCTGACGGAAACCGCAAGTGCAACAGCGGAAGAACCTTCCGACGAAGAAAGGACACATCACGTGAGCAACAAAGGAAGATTGAAGCTTACAGAAGGTCTATCTGATCCAGCAAAGTTCTCCAACTGGGACCGACTCCGATACTCAACCGCACGTGTTCTACAGTTCATTCAACTCTGCAGAACCATTAAACAGAGAGTCTACTAACTACAAACGAACAAAGAAGAATAAAGAGGCTGATCCCACTTGGAAAAAGAACAAAGCTACAGTAAAATATCAGGCGCACACGACGACAAAGAAGCGGTTGCCAGAAGACATAAAGCCGCTAATGGTCACCGCCGAGCTGGTTAAAACAGCTGAAGAACTCCTGATGCGATCCTCCCAAGAAGAATCCTTTGTGGAAGAAATAGACAGCCTAAACAGCGGGAAGCCGATCAACAAAGAGAGCCACCTCGTCAACTTAGCGTTGAGTCAATAAACGGCACACTACGACTTAGAAGCCATATTCGAGCAGTCCGCGACATGGAGGAAGAATTCAAGAACCCGCTGATAATTGACAGTGATCATCATACAGTCAAGCTCTGGGTGCAGGCTATACATCGGCAATTCCATCACGCCGGTGTAGAGGCCACAGTCAACGAGTTCCGGCAGCAGTATTGGGTACTGAGACTGCGCCCTATCGTACGCACAATAGTACAAAGATGCCTATTCTGCAGAATGAAGACGCAAGTGCCGCCGCATCCGAGAACCGGGGACCTGCCAACATGTCGCTTAGCTCACCACAAGCGCCCCTTCACCTACACCGGGGTGGACAATTTCGGACCTCTTTCGGTGAGCGTCGGACAAACTCGACAAATGAGATATGTGGCCATTTTTACATGTCTCACGACGCGAGCCATACATCTGGAAGTCGCCGGCTCACTAAGATGGCCATAAGGCGAATGATCGCGTGGCGAGGCTGCCCGACTGAAATATGGTCAGACAACGGCACCAACCTGAAGGCAGCCGATAAGGATTTACGACAGGCGGTCGACGCAGCGACCGCAGAAGAAGCAGCGAATAGGACTATCTCCTGGCGCTACATCCCACCTGGAGCTCCATTTATGGGCGGAGCCTGGGAGCGATTGGTTCGCTCCGTCAAGACCGCTCTCATCGCGACGTTACACGAACGTCATCCGACAGAGGAAGTCCTCATGACACAACTGGTAGAAGTGGAATACACCGTCAACAGCCGCCCGCTGACTCACGTCTCAGTCAGTTCAGACGATCCCGAAGCTCTCACTCCTAACCACTTCTTGTTGGGAGGACCGGGACGAGTACTACAGCCAGGCACTTTCACCGAACAAGACGCCCTCTTACGGTCAAGTTGGCGAGCTGCGCAGAGGCTAGCCGACATCTTCTGGCTACGCTGGGTGAAGGAGTACCTCCCTGAGCTCCAACACCGGCGGGAGCCCCACGGACGAGGCCAAGCAGCACGCGTCGACGACCTCGTACAGATCGTCGATCCCAACCTGCCCCGCAACGTGTGGATACGAGGAAGAGTCATCGCTACATATCCGGGTCCCGACAACATCGTGCGGACGGTGGACGTGCTGACCAAGGGTGGTGTCCTACGCCGGCCAGTGAGGAAGCTTGTAATCCTGCCTCTATCTACGGACGTCGAACCCGCACCGAAAGCTGATGCGACGCGATCGCACGGCGGGAGTGATGTGCGGGACAAGTGAAAAAATAGCGATAGGCCAATACGTAAATAAGACAAGCATTTTACGTTATGTTAATGGAATAAATATTATAGTTTAGAGTTTATACTTAAATAGGATATAAGCGTTTCATGTTATGTTAATTGAATAAAGATTATAGTTTAGAGTTACACATAAATAAGATATAAGCATTTCATGTTATGATAAGGAAATAATAGTTTAGTGTTTCAGTCAGGGCAGGATTATAGTGCCTAAGTGTATGCGCATGCACAAGTGTTATCTCTATTCCCTCACTCTCGTAGTCCAACTCAGGACCAACGGCTTTCCCAGGCACAGGGGTGAAACATTGACAATTTCCTAAATTCGGGCTTCTATTGAGAAGCTATTGACAGAAAAACCCAATAATTGATTTTGGCCTGACCTAGGATTCGAACCCGCGATCTCATGATCGGCAACCACGTTTACAACCACTAGACCAACGAAGCTGGTAACTGTGATAGTCAACTGTGTGAACAGTTGACGATCACCGTACCCGGACGTTTATATCGTTGAAGCTGTTCCAGGTCGCTAATCGGGGTATATTAAGCCTGGCGGAAACGAAATGATTATTCCTTGTTGTTGTTGTCAGGAAAACGCTGCTGCCAAGCTTCTGGTTCGTTTCCTCGATTGACGATATTATTTTCAAAAACATCTTTTAGAAATGTAATGAAATTAAATCAGTACTTTTGCTATAATTGATATGACTAAACTAATTAAATGGAAAGGTAGGTACTACTCTTAAAAAAATACTAGAAATTAACGATGGCCATGAAATAAAATACCCCAAGGCAAAAACCAGTCCGCTGTAAAGTCATACATACATATTATATAATCAAGCCCATTCCTTAGTATTAAAATATCAGAAGTAACATTAAATAATTCAAAAGAAGGCATGGGTCGATCAAACCACTATATAAGCAGTGAAGTCCTTTGTTCTACACTCTTTCGAAACGAAAAGCTTGAGTACGACTACAATAGCTAGATTAAAAATACCTGAATATTTTATAGACTAACGTCATTAAGGAGCTCGTTGATAGCAAAGACTTTAATTTTAAAAACTTTTATATGCGATTTTCGTAAAATAAGCCAACTATATACTTCTTTATAGAATAAGGGTGCCAAACGAGCACACAGTCCATTTGATGGTTAGTGGATGCTGTGGCCCATAGACATTTACATTTATCCCCTATTAAGAATTAAAGTGCAAATGCGTTGTCACCTCTGAGGACTAATATGGAATGCCTCGTTTCCAGTAAAAAAGTCGCTACACTCACCATACATTGAGCCGTGGTAGCTCAGATGGTTAGCGCTCGCTGTAAACTTCACAGTACTCGAGCAACCCGGGTTCGATCCCTGCCGGCACCAATGAAATTGTTAATTGCAATTTTAAGTGCTGATTTACCACGTACTCGGCGGTGAAGGAAAACATTGTGAGGAAACCTGCATGTCTGAGAAATAAGAAAAAAAAATATTTCAAAGACATGTGAAGTTCGCCAACACGCTTTAGGGCAGCGTGGCGGACATTTCCTTGCCCTAAAACCCTCTCAGAAATGAGAGGAGGCCTGTGCCCAGCAGTGGGACGTAAATAGGCTGCAACTTTACTTTTACTCACCATACGAAATAAAGCTGCTTTTTTACGCAGGTATTCTGTGAGGCTTGGTTTACCTGCGGCCGAGCCGACCCATTCGTGCTATTACCCTAACATAACTCCAACGTATCTCTACATTATTACCAACTTTAGTGACATCCTTATTTTTATCGTTATTAAATGTGATAAGTAAGGACAACCGGTAGCCCTTTTTGATGGTAACAGACAATTCTTCTTAGTTCACAAGAGTGATAACGTATAGTACACATAAACAAGTTATAGAGAGCGCGTTAGCGACTATGAACAGTAAGCACGGTCTCGAAATTGCAAGGGCGACGCTATTAGTCAAAAGTACACGCGCGATGATTGTGTCTCTGGCCGGTGTTTACTTCAATTTTAGGTTACCATATGTAACATGTTGTATAAACGATTCACGAAAGCAAACGTAGACGAATAATGGTATTTATTTTTATCGGTAAGTAATATTTTAATTAAAAGAAAAACCTCTAAATTATAACAAAATTAATCAGGGTGTCAGAGGCTGTTGCGGGTCGACATAGCACGTGCTTGCACATTCCGCTTTTTTCTCTGAATAGAGCTAGTGCTGTAGCAAGTTGTACACGAATATTTAATAATAATATAATTTCTTTCGTAATAATAATAAAATCATTTTAAAATGATTTTTTTTATTATTATATTACAATCCTGTATTACAAACCTGTATTGCAATCCCATATAGATCAATGTTTAAAATAAAACTTTTGAATACTTTTTTTATATGAGTACACAATAAAGATAAATACGGTTAAAATACTTTTCTAAATTTTAATTTCGAAAAGCCGTGAATTGGCAAAAAAATGAGTGGTAGCAATAAAAAGGCCCAACTGGGAGCCAAACATCAGAAGCTTCGTTTGTTTCGTCCATTTTAGTGCTGCGTCCATTTTTAAAGCAAATGTTGATTGTGCAAGCTGTATGGAGACGCAATTAATAACTAGCTTCGGCAGTTTTATGTAGGTATCTACGTAATTACATGTGTATGTCTGCGATTTTTTCAATGGATATCATTCAAAAATATATTGACAGAATTAAATATCTTGTACTAAGACTGCGATTAAGTAAACAAAACAACAATTATATAATAAGTTTTAAGATTTTTGTTTAATCATTCAACATCGTTTTATATATTCATACCTGTGTTTTATTGATCTGCTAAAATCTACCTTATAATATACCTACCTACCTAATATTTAATAAATACTTACCTAGTTAAACTCAAGCTTAAATATATTAAAACATGGGCGTCAATCTTGTATTACTATTCAATCAGCATCTATTGAACATCTGCTTACGCTTGACATAATGGGCAATGACGCGCACTCTATAGCTTGCGTATGTAAGGGTGACAATGCTACTGCATTTTGATTCCTGATCGATGATTACAAATAGTAATTATATAATTAACGTTCATATTTTTTTGTATTTTATATTGGTATCATTGATTATAATATTTTGTAACACTGTAAACAATCACTACATAAATACACTCCACACACAAATTCCCACGCATTCACATATACAACATACACACTCTACACTCACTCTAACATTCACACCCACACATTAGCCCTATAAGAAGCAATAGACACAACAGAAATCAAATAGCTAGTGGCTAACATAATTTATAGTCATGTATATTCATTGATTTTGTATTTATCACGTGTGTATTTGTGTGCACTTTATCTCAATTTTCAAAACTTCCCTTGCTGTCATGTTTGAATCAAAAGTCTTACTGACAAAGCTGGATTTAATGCAATTTTCGTGGCATCAATTAAAAAGACAGGCGGGAGCTGACTTTTATTTTTCCTAAAAATATAGCCGCCTTAAATTACCGCCCGGGGCCATGGCACCCTCCTAGACCACTGTAAGTAAGGACTGTCCGCACTACTGGTCTTTGGATTTTTTTTATAGGATAGGGTGACAAACGAGCACACAGTCCACCTGATGGTAAATGGTTGCTGCGGTCCATAGACATCTACATTTATCCTCGTTTGCGAATCAAAATGCAGATGCGTTGTCACCCGTGAGGACTAAGATGGAATGCCTCTTTTCCAGTAAAAAGGGTCTCCGGCTCTCTACACTCACCATACGAAACACAGCAGTGTTAAGCTGCTATATTACGCTGGTATTCTGTGAGAGCGTGGTCCTTCCCGCGTCGAGCCAACCCATTCGTGCTACAACTATACTACTAATATAGCTGCAGCATGACTCTACCACGTGCAAAGGCTTGTTATAAACGCTTGCATGCCTTTTTATAAAAGCTAGCTAGATAGTCAATATTTTTCAGGCAAAACTTCTATTAACCAATATTATTTCAGTCAAACCTACTTTTAACCAAACTCTAGTCAAAAATACTTTTGTCAGTTTTCGTCCGACAAGAGTATTTTTGACCGGGAAAGAGTTTTAACTATAACATACATACTGCCGAATGCCAGTGCGTCGCTCTTTTCTTATCCGATCCGTTTGTCTTTCACTTGTAAGACAAGTTAATTTTATATCTTACAGTAAGTACTACTAATTTTTACAGTGCAGTTATAAATTTATTTATTTATTTATCAACAAATTACAAATAACATCTTATAATAAAGCAAAAACTTAGATCTTACCACCACACTATAACATTACATATTTAAGTGAAGAGCTAATACAAATCCAAATTTAAATGAGGTAAACAAAAATACATTGTTACAGATACAGAGTTATGATAATATTGTTACAGAAAAGTTAATGTTATAAAATTAAATTAACGGAATTCAGATCTTAAAATAGATTTATTACAATAATAATTTGTTATAATTTACCGCATGAACCGCAAGCTCTTTCGATGAGATTTAGTACAAGGGTTTTATAAATCCTACGCTAAATATTAATATAGATTAGTTAGTGTTGCCTGATGCTGTTCTATCTCGCTGTGAGTTAATCCCAAAGGTCTTCTTATAAATTCAAATCATAAATACGGTCGAGTAAGTTTATCTACGATATTCTTGCTTTACAAAGGTAAGCTTAAGCGATGGTAGTTAAGAGACCTAGCACTTGTCGTAAATTTCACAGTACGATTCACGCTGACACGAATGAAATTGTTAATTGCAGTTCTAAGTACTGATTAAACATGCGTTTGGCGCAGAAGGAAAAAACAACTTGTAATATATGAATTTAATATATGACAATAAAAAGAGTCCAACTTAGTCCTAATGTTCTAAGAATTTTTTTTTATAGGATAAGGGTGACAAACGAGCACACAGTCCACCTGATGGTAAGTGGTTGCTGCGGCCCATAGACGTCTACATCTATCCTCTGTTACAAATCAAAATGTAGATGCGTTGTCACCCGTGAGGACTAA